TGCATGTTTTATGGTGTTTTTCAGTGAACTGGATCCCTACTGACTGTGTCCTTTGGAAAAAAAAATCCCTGTTTTTGACCATAAAAGTATTATTTAAAATAACCTTTAATTAAACAGATTAAAGATTCTTGACATGCGATCACAGTGAGACAAAGAGAGAGTCTGGCTTCCTCCAGTTTAGCTTCACAGAGAACAAAGAGATGTCGTCATTCCCACTAATTAGCTTTTTGTTTGTTATTTAAATAGAGAAGTCCTACTGTACTGTAATGAACCGTCACAGAGCTCAGAGAGATGCTGCCTCTCAGACGATCCTCTCTGAGCGCTGAAGGAAAAAATCATGATGTGGAGAGAATATCGATTCCCACATGATGCTCTTTAATGATTCCCGTGACATTTTCGCTGGTAAAGAAATGTGTTTTTACACGACACTGCGTCATGTTGGGTTGCTGGAGGAAGTTAGAGGCTCGTCAGACGTGGTTTTAGTCCTCGTAGGTGTTTCTCACTGATCAAACCTGAGCTGTGCTGACAGACTGAATGCTTTACTTCTCCGTCCTCATGTTCTGATTCGTGAGTTGATAATAATTCATCAGAATGTGTTCATTCTCCGCTGATTGTAAAAGTCGTGCCAAATGCCTGCTGTCGAGCTTTCGCCGTTTCCCCAAAGCCTGAGGTGGCAACTCTCAGACTTCTCCATCTGACTGCCAGCATGTTGGGAAATTCCTCTTTTCAAACAGAGAACATTTCCGCCAGCAGAATGTGTAATTAACCAGCAGGCAAGAACAGCAAGTCTTTAATTAAATTTTCTTTTCTTTTCTTTTTTTTTTTCTTTCACGGTTGAGCGTTGAAGGAAAAGTGCAGCTGGTTACAACATGAGGTTTATTTCCATCAGTGCTGTTAGTCCTGATAACATTGTAATCACAGTCTTCATTGTTGGAAATCAAATCTTCTGGGAACAGGCAGTGTGCACAAAGTTATCACAATCAACAGAATTGATGGCAAAGATACAAAAACACAACCCCAGATTCAACGTTATTTTCCCAAGACGTGCACAAATTATTTAGTTTTTATCACAATGGGTCACTTTTGGTGAAAAAGCTCTGATTCTGTACCGCTGCCTGACAGAGTGGAATATTTAGAGGACCAGATTTATCATTTAAACATCTGTAGGTCAGAGTAAAGTAGCAGCATTTTATTTTTTACATCACCTTGTAACAGGTTTATGTCAGATTAGTTTGTACAGTCATAGATCCCTGCATTCAGACGTATTGAATTCTTGTTTTAACACATTTTATTTCCTCCACGCCTGCCGTGGACGGAGCGCTTCTGTTTGTCCATCATGTTCGATTCTCAGGATCGGCTGGAAGGAATGATGCAGGAACAGTCACCTGGACTCGAAGACGAGAATTTGGAGGTCAAGCGTCACATGTTTTGGGCCAGGAATGAGAACTGATCTGTTAAATAGGACAGCACTTCACAGAAAAATAAAATAATAAAGCGACTGCATTTTCATCCAGAAGGTCAAACGTGGGCTCCGCTGTAGCATCAGGATGTTCTGAACCAACACCTCTCGGGTCGGTTTTCAACACCATGACTCAGGAACTTGGTCTGATACTGAATTATTGACAGTCATCTTGAGGACACATGTTGAAGCTGTGAGATCCTCTGTGCTGCCTGGTTGAAAATGTGTCTGAAGCCCTCCAGCTTTAGAATATGTAGCATCTATATTACCTACTGTTAGAGCTACAGCTTATCAGCATCTACTTTACTGGTAAAAACGCTGACTCCGATTTCTGTTTAACCCAATGAATCTACACACTTTTAAGTCTTCACTACATGTATTATATGAGTCTGGACAACTGGATGTCAACTTATATGGATATTTGAGTGTTGATTGGGGATCGCAACCTGTCCAGGTGAACCTGCCTTCACCCTGAGTCAGCTGGGATAGACTCCGCCCCCCATGACCCTGGTGAGGATTAAACGTTGTGTAGATAATGGATGGATAGATGTATGGATGGATGGATGGATGGATGGATGGATGGATTAGGGATTGACCAACATGGTTCTCTTAGACCTGATACTGATGCTCCAGT